TCCACTGATCAACGCTACACCACATTGAACAGGCCCAACCAATCCACCTAAACTACAGTGCATTGGGTCGATTTATTAAGGTAGGACTAATTACGGTGAATCTGGTCGACCGCCCCTAACCGCGGGCACGGCTATTCGAATAGTTTTACTCTGATCAGAGGTGTACAACTGTACCCACAAGACACAGCCCCACGACACGTTTCCGTGCGCCGACATGCCACCACGACATACCGGAAAGAGGCCGTGACAGGACCCTTCGCATAACCCCCTCTAACCAAGCACACCACACCTCAGGTTTCACCCCCGTTCCCAGCGGGCAACGGGCAGTCCCCTCTCGTGCCTAGGTGAATCCGGAAGCGACAGAGGCCGTCGCAGGGCCCGCCCCGCTCCATCACGCCCACCCTTGCCTGGATGCGTCGGCTAGAGGAAAGCTACACTACAAGCCCAGCCGTTGCCCACGCTGGCTTGTGGTAAGCACGATAAATTCTTCTAGGGTTTCCCGCGAACCGGTCCTTAATTGCCATGGGTGCGACTAGCAAAACCATGCACCCACAGCCCACTATTCAGTCACATTTTAGTTGGATAATTACGACCATGAAGCATTGCCAGGTGTCTCGAGCACGCAGCTCATTCTGATACTAAAAAGGTCTAATACTGTAATTATCCCATCAACTGAGCTAGTGGTAATTAAGCATGGCTAAGCATATAGTTCTAGCTAGGTTACATAAGTAACATGAGCTAGTCGATTTATTACCCCCGGTTGACAAAGGACAAATATCAAGTAAACATGGCACAAGCGAGCAGATAGATAATACCCGGATCCCATGTAATTAGCAAAACATGCATACTTATTTGCAAACGGTAAAACATTTATAAAATAGGCTCAATATGCTCAATGGGATTGTGTGACTTGCCTTGCTTCTTCACTTTGATCTTCCGAACTTTTTTCCTCGCGACCGCGGACTTCCGAAACGACGGGAACTACATGCTGGCACGCAAAACAAGGAAAAACTCTAATAAAAACCAAGAAAACAATACATCAAAAGTAAACAAACATGTAGAGCTCAATTTTAGATGAATTTTGCAAGTTGAATGGCTCAATTTGGAGTTCGAATGAATTAGATATGGATTTTAGAAGTTTTGAGCCATTTTAATGGATTTCTATAATTATTAACGAATTATGACGCAATTATCATTTATTTTTCCAAAGGAAAAGAGGGTTGCTGACGTCATCAAAGGGGAGGGGCGGCGCCGGCAAGCGGGCCCCACCGGTCAGCGGCACAAGGGCGCCGGTCCACCGTGGACCGGGACCACCAAGGCGGTCCACCGCCGGTCCACGGGAACCGACGGTCCGGATCGGCCCAAGCCGATCGGGCGGCCAGGGGCGGCGCGGCTGGGGCACAGCACGGCACAAAGCCGGCCTAGCTGAGCCATGGCGCAGCGGTAGCGCGGTCTCCGGCGACGGCGACCGATGGGCGGCGCGGGAGAGGCGGCACGCATGGGCGGCGGCGGCGCACGAGATCGACGCAGCGCAGCAAGGGGGTCCGGGCGGCCCAGGCGAGCGGGGCGGCGGCGCACGGCCAGGTGGTCGCCGGCGGCGGCCACCGGCGCGGCAGCGCGCACGGGAGACAGAGGAGGGAGGCAAGGAGGGAGAGGAGGAGCTCACCAAGGACGCGGCGACGAGGGGCGGGGAAAGGCGGGGAGCTCGGCGTCGGCGCTCCTCGGGACGAAGGCGGAACGGCGGCCCAGCGGCGTTCCGCGAGCGGGAACCAGCGGACGGCGGCCGGAAGGACTGGCGCGAGGGGAACCGTGTTCCGGCGGGATCCTGGCCGTGAAAAGCGGCGGCCGAGGTGCTCCTCGGCGCTGCGAAGCGAGCGGCGGCGGCGGGGCGGCTTAGGGTGGTTAGGAGCGGCGCCAAGCGGCGGCTGGAGGTGGTAAAGACGGTGGAGAGAGGTGGTGCGCGTGGCGACGGTGTTTCGGAGGCGGGGAGGGGAAATGGAGCGGATGCCGGGGTGCGGTGGGACGCTGCGATGCTATAGGTGGCAGCGGCGCAGTGCGGGGGCGACGGAAGCGGCGACGGCGCGCGGCTGGAGGGTCGCCGGCGTGCGGCGGCACACGGGAGCGGCGTGGGGAGCTCAAGAGAGCGCGCGGGAGGGGGCAGTGAGTTGGGGAAACGGATGAGGGGAGGTCGGGGTGCATTTTTATAGGCCCCGGAGGGGGAGATCGTGGCCGTGGCGGGCGGCAACGGCCGGCGGATGGAGCTCTGGCGACGTGGGCGAGTGGGGCTCGAACGGCGCCGATTTTTGGGGGCAAATGGGGGAGAAAGTGGAGGAAGGGGAGGACGTGGGGTGGACCACGTCTGCACGCGCGCGGGAGCGTGGAGGCGCGCGGAGGAAGCGGCGTCGTGGGGTGGTTTCGGCGGCCATGGAGGCCGGCCGAAGGTTGGGGACGGTCCTGACATGTGGGGCCTCGGGTCCCACATGTTGGTCGGAGAGAGAGAGAGGGCCGAGGAAGGGTGTTATGTGGACTTAAAGAGAGGAGAGCTAGGCTGGGCCGACCCGAGAGAGAAGAGGGGAGGAGGGAGGCGGCTGGGCCGGAGAGGAAAGAAGGAGGGAGGGGGATTGGGCCGAAAGCAGCCCAAAGAGAAGAAGGAGATTTTTATTTGTTTTCTTTTTATTCTAAATTGAGTTAATGAACTTTGTAACTTTAAAATTATTTCTTGAGCTCCGAAAATTCACGGGAAAAATCTGGAGAGTATTTTAGGGCACAAAGAATATTACAAAATATTCTCGGCCAATGATTTTTAAAGGAAAATTTTAATTTCCTCCATAATTTCACTTGATTAAATTGATTTAACTTTTATTTAATTTCTAGAAAATGCATTATTTAATGATTTTTAATCCCGAACGAAAATCGGGGCGTTACATTCATCCACGTCATCAGTGTTTTTCAGCCGTCCGATCAATCCGTCTGCTTATCCGTAGATAGACAGGAGGCCCAAGATCAATGTAAAGCAGCTGGGCTGATGGGCTCCTAGCCTCCCACGTCTTTTTCTCTCAGCCCATCTCTGTAGTACTCAGGCAGGCATAGCGTCCGTGGATCATATTATCATAAGACATTCTCAGCAAATTGTAAGCAAGTTTATTTAGGATTTTTGCACTGATATTGCACATAGAAAAAAATGCTCTTTTATGCCCGCAGCAACGCGCGGGGTATCAACTAGTATAGAATAGTGATGGGCTGCAAATTTTTATTTAATTACATGTCAGCCGGAAATTGAACTCGAGATCTTTTGACTAAACCATATATTGAGTTAGATACATCAACCAATTTAACCCAAAAAGTTTAATCTAATTAATGAGAAAATGCGGGCATCGACTTATACTCGAACGAATCGATCTCCCTAGCTATTAGTATATGTTTTAGTTTTGATGAATTTCTTTCTTATTTAGTGCCGTCTCCCTATATATTCTTTTTTGCTTTTGTCTGCACAAAACTCCGCAGCAATACGCGGGTTCCATCCACTAGAGTTTATGAGTGGTCTGTCACATTTTGTTCGATCTTCTTTTGTTAGCTCGGAATTGGAATTAGATGCCCACGCCAAAACGCCAGAAAATTTAATACCCAATCGGGATGTTATGTAAGTACTTTAATTAGTTGTACTACAGATTTTAATATGTGAAGTTTTGCATATCATGGATGCTGTTTCGGTTTAAGCCATTCAATTTATATACTCCCTTCGTATTTTAATGTATGACGCTGTTGACTTTTTGACAAACGTTTGAACTTTCGTCTTATTTAAAAAATTTATGTAATTATAATTTATTTTATTATGACTTGATTTATCATCAAATGTTCTTTAAGCACGACATAAGTATTTTTATATTTGCATACAAATTTGGAATAAAACGAGTAGTCAAACATTGGTTAAAAAGTTAATGGCGTCATACATTAAAATATGGAGAAAGTATTAATTAAAGCATTTTCTTTTAAAGCTGCAAGAACGCAACCTTTGCTAAAGTTGAGAATATGCATGTATGTATGATAACGGTGACATCACAGCGCAGGATTCGAACACAGAGCCAAGAGAACGGTCGGTGTAGCATCCGCCATAAAAGTCGGAGTAAAAAAAACAACTTATATATACATGAACATGAATTTATATAGGCTACGTACATACTACCAATATGCATGACGCCATTGACTTTTTTTTGTCATATTTGACCATTCGTCTTATTCAAAAAATTTATGTAATTATCATTTATTTTATAATGACTTGATTCGTCATCAAATGTCCTTTAAGCATGACATAAATATTTTCATATTTACACAAAAATTTTGATTAAAACGAATGGTCAAATGTTGGTCGAAAAGTCAATGGCGTTATACATTAAAAATACGGAGGGAGTATTAGATTATCATTTTTGATAGATGGAGTATGTAATATCCATTTATTTTATGGGTGAAAATTAAGCCCGAGCACAAATTTATAAATTCACAAAATAGTAGTCGAGTAATTATATTTATAACATCATATTTTAAAAAAATAAAAACGTTTTTATATTGTAAATTTACTACATTTGCATTATAATTAAATTGTAAATTTCAAAACTTATTTTGTAATTACAATTACATTGCAATCACAGTTTTCAACTTGTTAGGAAACAATAAAAAAACAATAAATCAATCATAGAAGACACGAGATTTAACGTGGAAAACCCTCCCAGAGCAGGAGAAAAAACCCACGGGTGCCAGCTAGCAAAATATCTTCACTGTACCGGGATGAGGTTACAACGCCGAACGACGGCTTAAAAGAAGTATATATGAAGGTGAAACCCTAAAAGAATAACGATCCGTACCCGGGTGCACAACGCTTCGTTTCATCCGAAGCTGACCTTTATTCATGTACAAATAAATTTGGATCATAAATCAACACAATTTGTTGTATATATAGAAAAGTATATATGAGAGATATAAGGCATGATTACGCGTATAGAAGATAAAGCAATCACACAAGAAAAAAAGTCTATTGAAATTAAGTGAAAAATGTGACATTTAGTAAAACCGAAATACTAGCAAACACCGATAACCATAGTTACATACTCTTATCACGAGTTAGCTCACTGATCTCATGGACCATCTCCTCTAGTTTTTTATACGATGACCCACCAATCTCCATGGCCTTCTTAGAAAGCACTGCGAGTTCACTTACTCTAGTAGATGCCCATTTTCCTTCCTCTCCAAATATCAACTCCCTTGCCATCACCTGCACTTCTTCCCTTGCAACCAATCCATTTTCCATGTCATCTTCTCTTTTCTGTGGCCAAACCCTGAGCCCAACTCTTAGCATATCAACCACAAATTTTGCATTCAGTTTCTGCTCAGCTGCCATTGGGAATGCAAGTATTGGCACACCCATAGAGATGCTCTCCAACACCGAATTCCACCCGCAGTGGCTGAAAAACCCTTTGATAGACTTATGGCTTAGAACCCCGACTTGATCGATGAAACCTTGGTATACCTTCCCCTTGTCCCCAAACCTATTCTCGAAATGGTCCTCTGAATCAAACCATTTGGACCTGACCACCCATAAGAAATCTAGACCAGACTGATCTAACCCGAGCGCTATCTCCTCTAGTTGAGTCCGACTTAGGTCAGCCTGTGAACCAAATGCGACATACAGCACCGGTCGGTCCATGGCGAGCCGCGAGTCGAGCCAATCCGATACATCCCGGTCCATATTCCGGCCCAGTTCGGATGCAAGACACAGAGGACCGACCGGCCATAGCTTCACAGGGGACATCCGGCTCCAACCGTCGAAGCATAGCGGCTCGAGCTCCACGAAGGAATTGACGATAATGCCCTCGCTGGAGTCCATGCTTGCCTTGGTCTCGCACGCGAGGTCCCAAAGCGGGCCGGTCGGCTCCGGCTCGTCGATGGGCGGGTTCAGGTCGGCTCGGGTGAGCCGGAGCCCGGGCAAGCCGTCGACCTCGAACGGCTCGGACGGCGAGCCGACGCGCGCGTGCGGCTTGTGTGCCGTGACCGCGCCGGCGACGTACGTGGCGAAGGCGCTCATGCCGTAGGAGACGAGCCGCGGCACGCCGCCGGCGTCGGCGGCGGCGAGCTCGGCCCACGGGAGGAAGCCGTCGTGGACGAGCACGTCGGGCCTCGGCTCGAGCCGGGCGAACGCGGCCGCGAACGCCGGCCGGAGCGCGGCGGACGCGGCGACCACGTCGGCGAGCTGGGACGGGGACGCCAGCTCGTCGTCCATGCTCTGCGGCGGCGCCGCGCCGTCGTTGAGGCCGTCGTCGGTGGGGAAGGGGAGCTCGACGACGGCGGCGGCTCCGGCTCCGGCGAGGCTGGCGCGGATGAAGGGCGCGTCGCGCGGGGTGGTGAAGAAGGTGACCTTGGAGGCGAGGCCGCGGGCAAGGAGGAGGCGCGTGAGGTGGAGGAGCGGCATGGCGTGGCCCTTCGCCATGAACGGCAGCATGGCCACGTGACGGAGCTCCGGCGAAGCAGCTGCCATCGATCGATCGGCTACCGACGACACTAGCTACACCGTACCGTTCGTCCGTAAGAGGCTCGCGAATTGGTTATTTGGTTTGGGGCGTTTGTGTGCGTCCGTCTTCGCATTCGCGCTCGCTATATAAGTTCAGAATATCCTTTTTTTTATAAGACCTATTTAAATGGGACTAAAAATTTTAAGTCCCTACCACATCGGATGTTTGAATACTAATTATAAATATTAAACGTAGACTATTAATAAAACACATCCATAATCTTGGACTAATTCACGGGACGAATCTATTGAGCATAATTAATACATGATTAGCCTATGTGATGCTACAGTAAACATTATCTAATTATAGATTAATTAGGTTTAAAAAATTTATCTCACAAATTAGCTTTCATTTATGTAATTAGTCTATATTTAATACTCTAAATTAGTGTCAGAGACTAAAGTTAAGTCTCTTATCCAACCTCCACCTAAGTCTCATCTTACGTAAGCACCAGCCCACTATGCGCAACAATAAGTGCACTGTCTAAACCAACGTGAGAAAAATGGTACCATCTTACATAAGTTCCAGATCACTAGCTACCAACAATAAGTGAACTGTCTAACCAACACGAGAAATACATAGGACTAGTTTGAAAAACTTAAAGATCACGAGATGCAGTTAGCTGGTAGTTGCTAGTCTCAGATTCAGAAACAGCTAGCTGCTAGTCAGACTGTGAGGGTCTAGAGAAGCTGCAAAACCCAACTTCTAATTTATTTTTTGAATTCTATAGCCATAGATTCTCTCATAATCTAGATTATGTTTCGAACAGTTACAGTTTCTGAAAATAGCTGCAGCAGCTAGAAACTTCTCCAAATAGGATCATAGAGGCCAACAATAAATTCCTTCCTGATCTTGCGATTGAAAAAACTCTCATATTTAATATTTACGACCAAAATTTAAACATGATATATAGTATAGGGAGTGTCACGGCACTATTACATAATCGATTTTTATGGACAAGCCCCCTTTTAGTCTCCAGACTGACCGTATAACATTATCCGCAATGAAAAAAAAAGATTTGTATGAAAAATCAATTTTCAGATGGGCCTCTTAATAGGCTCGTCTGTGAAAATAAACCTATTTTCGCAAGTGGACTTGTTAAGTGGACCGCCTGCTACAAGCCCAAAGAGCTAGCCGCCCACTCCACTCTCCCTTAAAAATCTAACCCTTATCATCTCCCCTCTCTATCTCCCCTCTCCTCCCTCATCCTCTCCTCCCCTCACCCCACTCCACCTCCTCTCCTCCACTTTCACAGACCAGTGAAGGCGGCCACGCTGGCGAGCACTTCAAGAGGTGGACAAGGTGGCGGCGGCGACAATGGCTCCTTCATGCGGAACTGAAGCGGCGGCGGCAGCTTCGTCGAGGCTCGCGGTGGCCGAATCAGATGAGGCTCCCTCGCACGGGCATGGGGTCAACAGCAGCGGCTTCCTCAGGTCCACGGCGGTTGGATCTAGCAACGACTCCCTCGCGTGGGCTTGGGAGCAACAGCGGCGGCCTTGGACTGGTCGGATTTGCCACTGTCACCCACTGGAACGACAGACTCACTCAATCCGTGGACTGGTGGCGGTAGGCCCGGACTGGACGGATCCCGCCACGCACCGGTGCACACTGTAGTGACAGGTCCACCAAACCTGACCGGGGACAACAAGATTGGCGGCGGCAACTGGAGCGGCAACCTACCCGTTTGGAAAGGTGTTGATTTTCACAAACACGGGTTCTGGCTGCCTACAAAAATGGGTTCTGGCTGCTTGCGAAAGTCCATTTTTTAAGTAGCACTAATAGAAAAATGATTTTTCATGGCGTTGTCTTATAATTTTTGCTGGTCGAAAAATGTGATAACCACTGGCAAATACGTAACGAGGGGGTGGAGGGCACCGCCCGTCTAATACGACCGCCAGCGAAAATATGTCTATTTTTGCTTTCGGTCACTTAGGTGCGCCACCAGCGAAAATAGATAATCTTTGCTAGCGGTCGAATTTTTCCTGGCGGCCAAAAAAAACAGAACCGCTGTTGAAAACCCAGCTCTCACAAAAAAAACATTCGGTCACATTTAAAATCACCCACCTACCACCTTTTCCTTCTCTCCACACCCTCTCCTCTTCTTCTCTTCAAATCAACTCCTCTTCTCTCCACATCCCTTCCTCATTCCTCTCCTCCCTCTCGACACCCCCACCGGTGACGGCGGCGGTGACCGGCGGCGACGACCGGGTTCGGCGACTGGGCGACGCCAGAGGAAGGAAGTGGCGGCGCCACCCCTGCCCTCCCATCCCCTCCTCTCTCCTCTCCCAGATCTGTCCGAGGGAAGAAGGCCGCCGACGCACAACAGAGGCGGCGGCGGGGAGGACGGGTGCGGCGCCATGGCGACGAAGAAGGTGATGTTGTCGCAGAGCACCCCGAAGTCGAGCTCCATCACCACGCACCTCCCATCCCTCCCCTGCAGGAAAAGCCTCAGATCCAGCGCCTCGTCGCCCGCCGAATCCGCCTCCTTCGAGACCACCACCAACGGCGCCACCACTGCCGCCGTCTCCGCCGGGACCACCACTGTCTCCGCTGCGGGCATCACCGGCGGCGGCGGGAGCGGGGACACAAAGTCGTCGAGATTGATGGGCGAGATGCGGGCGGGGGAGAGGATGCAGCGGGGGTCGATGAGGCCGCCAAGCCCGGCCAGCTTCGACGAGGTCGGCGAGCTGTGAAACGACGAGATCGAGGGGGAATTGGGCGGCAGCTTCCTCCCGGCCGCACCCCACCCACTCCTCCCAGTGCCAGGGAAGACGCCATGGCCGACGAGGTGGAAGAAGGGATAGGACGGAGGCCGGGGCTCTGCGGGACGCCGGCAAAGGAGCAGCACCAGCCCCGGGGCCTTCGCACGGCGGACCCCGCACCTCGGCACCACCCACGGTGCCGTTGAGCCCCACTGCCTTCCATCCTCGCCGTCGCCAGCGCAGATCTGCACAAATTTTGACAATTTGACCCTTTGCAAAAACTATTTTTACAAATGAACCGCTGCCAAAACTTATTTCAAATCTGACCCTTCTGCTCAACGCCAAATCATATGGCGCTGAACTTAGACACCTCAACGCCACGTCAGCTGGCGCTGAATGCCGTGCCAAGAATACACAAGTATTAAGATATCATTAAAAAAACTGTCATATGGTTTTTTGAGTGATTTTTTTTAAATCTAACCTAATGTATAGTTGTAATATAATTTCACTATAACTATGCTATAACCACACTACACTATATTGTATAAGTATTATAATAATTTTTAAAAAATAGAATAAACTTGGCCTCTACATCCCAAATATCCAATCGAATATACATAGCCAATATAAGTACTAAAATAATATATGCAACTTTATACCTAAATTATATAGAGATTATAATATAATTATATTATAGTTATATTTAAAAGTTTCCGATTGTTTTTTATCTAATCCCTTAAATAAAAAGTGGATGAGAGAAAGGAGACATCCCTCGTGTAAACAGCGATCTCTCTGCGGGAACTTGAAGTAATTGAGAGGAATTTATAGCAATCAATCGTGCATTGATGACGTGCCATGACCAGTCAAAAGACTTTTACTATTTATTGACCCAGCGTGTTCTCATGGTCGAGATACAAAAGCACAGTCGGACCTTTTAGTGCTTTTTTAGTTGTGACCTTGAACAATGACGACAGGCGATATACGCCGCTTCGCTACATGGCCTATTCACTTCGATGCTATTTTTAACCTTACCAAATTTTGGTAAAGTTGTAAAAAAAAAATAGCTACATCTAGTTTACTGCCAAATAATATCAAAATTTGGTAAGTTTTTTTTGGCAACAAAGTGAACAGGCCCTGTATTAACTTTGGTGAACAACCTTACCGCCGCTTTCATGACCCAACGTTACTTTCTTCAACAACCAGGGAGCACTCTAAACCGCTTCTGGAAACATCTATTTTCTCATTATGTATTAGCTGTTAGAATAGCTAAACAATATGATTCATAAAAAACTATATATAGAGAAGTTCTTAAAATAATCAAATAAATCAATTTTTAATTTTATAATAACTAATACTTGATTCAGATTAATCATGTTTTACTGATTTTTCTTGTTTTGAATGCACCAAAAAATGTCCAATCGCTGAAAAGTAGCTTCATAAGTAGCTTGTGAGAAAATTGTGAGAGCAGCACAAACGGTAGAATTATCCCAAACAAGCGATATATATTTCATAATGAACATAAATCTGCTTCTACAATATACTCCATCAGTAACATGAGCACCAACCACAAGGTTTATTAGAGACAATGCCAGCCCCATGCTAGGACAAGCTTATTTCAGCTGTTCTTCCTCCTCCTCTTCTTCTTCTTCATCATCATCATCATAATCTTATCGCCATAATTTATCGCCATTTTCGCATCCGTCCATAAGATTATACCTATTTCTTCCCCAGTTCTGAAATGTCCAAACATCTATGTGTTTACAACCACGCGGCGTTCTTGATCGGCGTGACGACGGCCTTGACCTGCAGGTAGTTCTTCAGGCTGTCGATGCCCTTCTCCCTCCCGATGCCGCTCTGCTTGTATCCGCCGAACGGGATCGCGGCGTCGAAGACGTCGAAGCAGTTCACCCACACGGTCCCGACCCTGAGCGCGCGGGTCAGGGTGTTGGCCGTGTTCAGGTTGTTGGTGAAGACCCCAGCAGCCAGCCCGTACTGGCTTGCATTTGCCCTCTTGATGACCTCGTTCAGATCACTGTCGACATAGCATAAATTGCGTTATGGTTTTGTCAGTTATGTGCATCCTAGTTATGTAGAGGCCAGAAATGTTCTTAGTATGGTTGTATCAACTTGATGTAATTGTCTGAGATCAATAAAAGCTTCCTTTATCTTAAAAAATATATATAGTCTTCGGTTCAGTTCTTGATTAATTTGGTTACTGCTAAGAGTTTGGGACAGGATGCATGTGAAATGGAGTGTTTACTCACTTGAACTTCAGAATGGACTGCACAGGGCCAAATATCTCTTCTTGAGCAATCCTCATGTTATCCTGAAGCAATCACCATACAATAAGTGTTAAGAAGATGAGGCAACAAAGGAGAAGGACAATCTGTGCTGACATTCTTTGACGTTATCCTAAGCTTAATTACCTGTACATCCGAGAAAATTGTTGGCTGGATGTAGTAACCTTTGTCACCTAATCTGTCGCCACCAGTCACAAGGTTGGCTCCACTGTCAACACCATACTTGATGTAGCGCAAGATCTTGTTGAATTGCTCGTCATCAATCTAGAAGTATTAAAACAAAATTTGCAAGGTTATCATCAGTCCAAAACCTGAATGTGTTATGATGACTGGATACTTGACAATACGATTGAAGGTAATTAATGTAAAGCCTGCATGATTATACCACATCAATGCATGGCCATGTGATGGATAACTGAAGGACAGGCAGTATGAAGGCTGAATGTGCTAGTCAGTACTATGTACCTGAGGGCCCTGTTCAACACCATTCTTGAATGGATCACCAACCACACGCTTGAGAGCACGAGCCTTGGCCTTCTCCACGAACTCATCATAGATACGCTCATGCACAAATGTACGAGACCCAGCACAGCAACATTGTCCCTTGAAATTTTAAGTCAAGAAAAATCATTTAGAGATTTCAAACTAATGAACAAAGTTGTTGTGCCTGCTTTGACATAATTTATCATGTGGTACCTGGTTAAAGAACAGTGCAAAATGCGCAAGCTCAACAGCATGGTCAACATCAGCATCATCCATGATGATGAAAGGAGACTTGCCTCCTAGCTCCAGTGTCACTGACTTAAGGTTGCTCCTTGCAGCCAACTCAAGGACGACTTTTCCAGTATCGGTCGATCCAGTGAATGCAATCTATATTGAAAGTGAAAGTAAAATCTTAGAATGCAACTGAATTTAAATATTTTAATACTATAAATCTAAATATTGCACTGTTTTCTGGCCATTATCTGTAAAATACAGGAATTACAAGAAAACCACAAGTTTACCTTATCGACATCCATGTGACTAGCAAGAGCAGCACCAGCAGTAGGTCCAAAACCAGATACCACGTTAACAACACCGTCTGGGAGTCCAGCCTATTTAATCATTTAAGATGATCAATTCTGATTCAATAATGTGTAGCTGATATAGAACATTGTTCACTGTAGACTAGAAAATATAAAGAATGCTTCAGCTGGTCAGACTTAGTCAAAAATGCACTCTTTCTTTGCACTGAAGCAAGCCAGAATTGATGGCTGCATTGACAAAGAACTAAACAAACAGATCATGCAATGAAATTTGAATCATTTCACTCTAGGTCTTGGATATTAGACCTAAAAGGATTATTGACACTAGAATGGGTTGTTTCTATCCCTTCCTTTCGGGAAGATCTGAACTTGCAGTTGCTTCTTGATCACTAGACTGCAGGACAAGAAATTCTGTAAAATGCAATTCTCAGTAACCATATTTTGCAAAATGGTTGCTTTAGAACTAATTATAATATTTTGCAATCCCAAAACTACACAAGCCAACAACAGGCCATTCTCAGTAATCATAATAAATGTCCAAATAGCATGGAGCAATTAAAAATGGATTCCTCTCATTGAACAAAAATTACGAAAATGATCACTGCACCAACCTCATGCAACAGCTTAGAAGCAAATAGAGCAGACAGAGGAGTTTGCTCAGCCGTCTTGAGCACAACAGTGTTTCCACAAGCCAAAGCAGGGCCAACTTTCCACGCAAACATCAGAAGCGGAAAGTTCCATGGGATGATCTGACCTGCGACACCAATGGGCTCGTGCAGCACCTGTACATGGTGTGGGCCGTCAGCCGGCACGACAAGCCCATGGATCTTGTCAGCCCAACCTGCAAACATTTCAGCACGAGTGGAACAATATTAGCCACCTGCATAGGCACCTTGTTGATCATTGCTGTTGATGTCAGAAGGAAGCTTACTCACCAGCATAGTACCGCATCAGCCGTGCCACCATTGGCACTTCAATGTTGGCAGCTTGCGCATACGGCTTGCCGTTGTCCCATGTCTCCAATGCAGCAATTTCATCGTTGTGCTTCTCAATCAAGTCAGCAAACCGCAACAGAATCCGGGATCTCTCCTGTAGAAGAAAATAAATTGTGTACTTCTATGAGCATGACTTCAGAACAATACAACAGTAGCAGCTAGCAACAGAAGTGTCAGTAAGTGTTTACATAGGCAGTCATCTTTGGCCATGGCCCTTCATCGAAAGCCTTGCGGGCCGCATGAACCGCACGGTTAATATCCTCCGCATCGCCTTCAGCCACATGGGCAATCAGCTCCCCGGTACGAGGGTCCAGAGTTGGGAAAGTTTTGCCTAATGAAATTGCAATGCACAATTTGAATTATGAGCTCAACTTACTGTCACAAAAAGAAATTTAAAACCAATCTATTTTTCTCAGTTCATGGGCCTTGTGGTGTTCAATGCCTATAGAACAGCTGAAGCCCACCAAACTAGCCTTATGAATCCAATCTCATTACTACTAGTTGAGTTGAAATAGTTTCATAGGAAGGGCTGAGCTGAAGAAGTGTACCAGATGCTGAATCAACGAATTTTCCATCAATGAGGAGCTGAGTGTAGTTCACTTGGACTGGGGGTGATATGGGCTCCTCTGCTACTGCTGCAGTGCTGAACCTCTGAAGGATTCCCGGCAACAATCCTTGTGTCCCATCTGCAAGCAGAAAATGCATAGTCAGGAATAGTACGAGTACTACAGTAGTAGCAGTGGTACGGAGTAAATCCATTTCCTAAGATCATGTATTCAATGAAGTCTGAATGGGACAGTAAATGCCCCTCAAAAATGGTACAAAAATAATATATGGTCCCTAGATCAAATGCCTCCACACATGGTGGAAGAAAGGAGCATTTAAACATACTTAAACATTATTTTTCAAAACTGGCGTTTCAAGAAAAAATTTGCGTAAGTGATAAATTTGTCCCCAGGAAAATAACCTGAAAAACAAGCACACAGGACTGAAAAGTATAATACATCGCCAATACTGTCCTACATGTGTTTACCCCGTCTGTCTGTAATTCTAGGGAACTAAATTTATTTCATGTTTCTTATAGGTACAAACTAGTTTATATCTTGACCGGCCTGAAGGATGATGGGAAAAATAAGAGTTTAAAATTGTGCCTCAGTGTAGCGCAGATAAGAAAGCCGATTACAACTTGTCCCTTTCTTTTTGACTGAATGACCACTCAATAATGTCCAGGAGTGTTACTGTGCTGCCCGGCAACTAGTAAACTAGTACTAATCAGTAATTTCAGATAAAGAATAGTGTTTTGAATTTTTATGGTATCTGCTTGTCATTTCATAGTCGAGGCAATTCACATCGGTTTCGCTGTATATATGGTGACATTAGCAAACAAGAACGGTTTGGAACCAAAAACCTAAGATTTTCTATGGCACTGATAAGGACTGAAGAAAAACTGGTATCCTATCATGTCAAGGAAAGAAAATATCACAGCCCACCGAAGAAAAGAGGAAAGGTCCAATCTGCCGCTCATGCTCATGACTCATATCTGACGCCAAAAATCCTAGAAACCCCATATTTTCCGGGTCAAGATAAGGCAGGGATTTCTCACTACAACCAGATTAGCTGACAAATAGGTATACTACACAGAAAGTAGTGGAGGACAGCAACGTTGAATGAAGGATATTTTCCCAAAAGATGAGGACACAACCTGATCTAAAAGATCAACTCTAGAGGCTGAATTTCTGGGTGAAAAAGCAAATTCAAGAATCATTACAAGCTACTACAACAATACCATTTTTTTTTCATACAAACATGGTTGAGTTCTAGTACCAAATTGAATCTTGCCATCAGAGCAGTCACCCATACAGCAAGAGATAATGTTTTTAAGCACCCAATAATTAAGCCCTGTCATGAACCAATAATTAAACAGTGGCACTAGTGACAACAACACACCAACCCTGGAATTCAGATCAGTCAGGTCCGGCCAATCCCTCCAAGATCCAAAACCCCACCACCACCCAAAAAGAGACAAACAGAAGCCGCCCTACAACGGTGTGGCATCAACCAAAGGTGGGAAAAATAATTCCAAGACACCCCCCAACAACATTGGGGAAAAAATAATTTTACCCACCAAGAAACACAAATAACACATGAACTTTTTTTATTTTTTTCCTAGAACACATGAACTTGGCCACGAATACCTACTTCTAGTACCAACCAAGATTCTGTACAACCAAAAAAAAGTACGGTGGAATTAACAAGGGGTCCAGGGGATGATGAATCAATCAATATACCTGCCCTGCGGAGCGCAGAGGGGACAGCAGGCGAGGCGGCGGCGGCGGGCCTGGACAGCAGGCAGCGAGAGAGCAGCGATGAGCCCCTCCTTGCAGCAGCGGCAGCCATGACCGATACCTCCCTCCCCCCTAGAGAATTTATTGCTCAAATCAACCGCACCACCAAACCCCCTCTGCACTGCAGCCGCAGCAGCCAAGGTCAGTAATGGAATGGAAGGGATGCGCGGAGCTCGTACGTCCCCAGTGGAATGGAAGAGGAGCAGTAATGGCGGCTTTGCTTTGAATTTGGCCGAGTTGTTGGGGGAGGAAAGCCAGGGCTTTACCCCCTCCTCTTTAATAGGAGTAGGGGAACGGATGGATCATGTATGATTAGATGTGGGGCCCACTTGCTAGCGGGCGAGAATTATTTTTGGTTTGGTTTGGAGAGGTAGGAGGGATCTTCTGTGGCTTATGTTTTGCTCCAGCTCGGACTAACCAAATAGTTTCAGCTCCATCTAAAATAAGAGTGGAGTCGGATGATGCGCTCTCACAAAAATGAACTAGAGAGATGGAGCTGAAGGCCTGTTTAGTAGAGCTCCAAATTCTAAATTTAGCTTCAAGAGTTGGGTCTGAAGTGGAGTTGTGGCACTCTAGTTCATTTTGTGAGAAAGCTCCACCCAGCTCTGCTCCCATTTTAGGTGGAGCTAAAACTATTTGGCTGAGCTCCAGCTCCAGGAGTGATGGAGCTAGAGCTGTACACAACAGGCCCTGAGCTTAGGATGCTCCAAAATTCAACTTAGACCCAACTCCTATAGTTAAATAGGAGTTGGAACTCTATCAAATTGGCCCGTAGTATAGCCTTATGGTTAAGGGGTCAATATATTTTTTTTACGGGGAAAAGGATCAATGTTTTAGCCTACAAAATTTGAAAGCAGGGTTTAAAATGAGGTGGACTGAATTTCTATTTATTTTGGAGGGATAGGTAAGATTGTGAAAAAAAAACCCATAGGTCATCCATAAGTATATACTCCCTCCGTCCCATAATATAAGGGATTTTGAGTTATTGCAAGCAACGTTTAACCACTCGTCTTATTCAAACACATTTTGAAATTATTATTTATTTTATTTGTGACTTACTTTATTATCTACAGTACTTTAAGCACAACTTTTCGTTTTTTATATTTGTAAAAAAAAATTGAATAAGACGAGTGATCAAACGTTACAAACAAAAATTCAAAATCTCTTATATTGTGGGACAGAGGGAGTAGGAGCGAAGTGGCTGCACGTGCGTGTGTAATTCCCCTTAGGTGAAAAATCTGGTTGAGGTTTACTATGTGATTCTTTACTGGCCTCTTCTATGATTGGAGACATTTTTGATGGTTTTTTGTAGTTTGGAAATAGTTGTATGAAATATTATAAAATCGCTATTAGAGTATGTTTCAAGAAAAGCCTTAAGCCCTTACTTAGTTCCAAACTTTTTCTTCAAACTTTCAACTTTTCCATCACATCAAAACTTTCCTACACACACAAACTTCCAACTTTTCCGTCACATCGTTCCAATTTCAACCAAACTTCTAATTTTGGCGTGAACTAAACACACCCTAAATAGAGTTGGGTTAAGTGCATACTCAAAAACCAACTTCTGATGATGAATTTAAACAAATGCTAATATAGGTTTATTATTAGAAGTTGATTTTTTTTGGAAGGGATATGTTATTGGCAAACTTTTTTATATAAGTTGTTTCATCCAATCAAAGAATATTTTATATCGATGTCTCTATTTATAGCAGTGTAGACGTCAAATATTCCTAACTAGTTGTGGTATATAGGGTCTATTTAGGAGAGCATTTTTCACAATCAGAAATTCCTAGAAACAATGTAGCTTTTCGTTCAAGTTCTAAAAAAAACTATAGTTGTGGAATCCTGAAAATGAACTACAATCTTAAGCTCCCCAAACAGACCCATAGATTCTTTCTGGATGATTGTGCTGAACTTATACATACCATGTTAACCTTGGCTAGAAGCAATTACTACCTCCATCCAAAACTAACTTTATTTTTTACTCATCTCACACATACTAATACAAAAGCAAAAAAAAAAAAAACTAGAATACACTCCATTTTATTAAATCTCATTGCAATTGTGTCTTATTTTATCTAGTCTCAATTCATTTGTCCCTCACATTTTCATAAACTCTAATGCAATGATTGCTTCATGTATAAAGTCGTTGTTTTGGAGCAAATAAGATGGTAAAAAATAAAGTTATTTTGAACTGATACAATATACATAAATACTCACTCCATTCCAAAATATAGCAACATAGAACCGAATTGGATATATCATAACACTATGAATCTACGTACACAAGGACCCATAGAGGATTCTTGGTAGTACGAATCTAAACAGGAGGTTGTCTAAATTTTTAATGCCCTTGTCTAGATTCATAATATAGGATATATCTAATTGGATTATAAATTAATAGATATATTTTAGATTTTAGAACAGACAAAATATATAACACGAACATGAGAGAAAAAACCACAGTGACTCTACACATTTGTGCAACGCTCAGCTACATCATGGACCATAGCGTTGTCGAACGTCCTAATCACATGAGGCGCCACCTGCAGCAGTTTTTGGAACCTTCTTACGGGTGCTTCAAACAATAATCTACACGGACCTCACGTAAGATAACAATCACAGTCAAATGGGGCTACCCGAGGAGTACTGGTTTATCCGATTCACTAGTTCTTACGGCATATTTTGGAAACTACTACTGCCTCAGTAAACGTAGAACATATTTACTATTAGTAACGTTGTTCAAACATCATGGTAAATAAATCAACTTCGTCATATATTTTAGTAAATTTTACGAAACCAAGTTTTGAGAAACATGTAAACTAAAATCCCAGGTTTTATGATTTATCTTAGAGAATCTCAGGTTTTGGGGTAAAATGTTTCAAGAAACCCTATGTTTACGCCAAATACTCATTATTTCATTAGTATATAGTTATGAGTATTAAATCGGCTGGTGGCATTTTGATGAGGAAAAGATCAACGAATTTTCTGGCCTTTTTTTTTCTAGAAGGTAAAAAAGAGAGTCAAAAAGACGTGTTCATTCTGATTAGGTGACCCACGCAATGGGGACGCCACAAGGCAAAAGGCAGCTGCACTGCACAGTCGCACATGATGCATTCATATTTCATGTGCCGGCCAACAGTCGAGATGCCGGGTCATGGTGCACGAGGGGAACTTTTTAATCTTTAAATCGTTTTGTTATAAAAAAATAAAAGTAATACTTCTGGCCAATCACAGAAGATCGAACTGTCCGCCAAGTATGGCGTGAGAAAATAATAATTTAAATTCGTGTTCAAGTTATAGGGTGTGTTTATTTCCAAAGTTTTTTTTTTCCAAATTTCCAACTTTCCATCACATCAAATCTTTAATACATACACAACTTTTCAGTCATATCGTCTCCAATTTCAACCAAATTCCGAACTTTGGACCAATCTAAACACAGCCATAGAGTAGTGTGCGAAAAGGATACTAGTAGCAATTAGCTCTTCAACTGGTGGTACATCGTCAACCACATCAACTACTCTCATATACACATCCAAAAAGATACTACAAACTCATAGCCGTAATTGTTGTTTCGGGATTGCTAAATTTTTTTCCCTATTTGATTGATCTCTCTCATGTATAATTTGCAGTACAGTAAGTATGTAAAAATGTAGGTAATTTATATTACAAAATGATATTATTAAATATGATGCTATAAACATAGCTGTTCCCTCGTCGTTTTCCGATGATGAACCATGGAAAAGCTACTGAATTCGTACTGTGTCACTGTAGCAAAATGAAAGGGCACTAGCCAGCACCACATGATATGGCAGATGGAGCATAATTAACCTGCCATTTCAATCGCCAACAATAGAGCCAGCTAAAGCTTTCGCTTGCCTTCCAAAGCTCCGATGGGTTGTGAAAGAAGGAAATTAAGATAGATCTAATTACTCCTCCCTCTGTTTCATATAATAAGATGTTTATCTTTTTTTTCTAATCAAACTTGTTTGATCAAGTTTATAGAAAAGTTCAACATCTAAAATATAAAATTAGTACTATTAAATCTAACATTGAATATATTTTCATAATATGTTTGTTTTGTGTTGGAAATACTAACATATTTTCAAGAAAGTTAGTCATAACTAGGAAAAGTAAAACGACTTATAATATGAAATAATATGAAATGGAGGAAGAACTAATTAAAAATCAAGATCACACCATGCATGCAGCAGAGGCTTAGCTTTTGGTACAGCCGATGCATGTGAGGATATCTGAGCCAGTAGATAACAAGATCTTAGGTAGTGTTTGGTTGAGAGGATGGGATGGGATGGGATGGGATGAACCCACTTTTAGGGGTGTTTGGTTGAGAGGTGAGTGGGATGGGATGGTCCCTGGAGAGGAATATTCCTCCCAGATCCGGGACGAAACGGTCCGCCAAAATCGGCCGGACCAATCCATCCCACTTCGACGGAGAAAACGGCGTCTGCTCCCGCTCGGCTCCGCCGCGGCGCCGCCACGGCCGCCCGTCCCTCCTCCTCCTGCTCCCTCCCCCGGCACCGCTCCGTCCTCCTCCGCCTGCTCCCTTCCCCGGCGCCGCTCCGTCCTCCTCTGCGTCCGCGACCGGCCGCCGCCTCATCCGCAACTGTCTCCGCGACCGGCCGCCGCCGCTCGTCGTCAGCTCCCGCCGCCTCCCGCTCAGCTCCGCCGCGGCGCCGCCACGGCCGCCCGTCCCTCCTCCGCCTGCTCCCTCTCCCGGCGCCGCTCCGTCCTCCTCCGCCTGTTCTCTCCGCCGCGTCCGCCGCCTCATCCGCGACCAGCCCCCGCCGCTCGACCGCTCCTCGCCTCGTCTCCGCGCCCACCTCCACCTCGTCCGCGACCGGCCGCCGCCGCTCGTCGTTAGCTCCCGCCGCCTCCCACTCGGCTCCGCCACGGCCACTCATCCCTCCCCCGCCTGCTCTCTCCGCCACGTCCGCCGCCTCATCCGCGACCGGCCGCCGCCGCTCGACCGCTCCTCGCCTCATCTCCGCGCCCGCCTCCGCCTCGTCCGCGACCGCCTCCGCGACCGGCCGCCGCCGCTCGTCGTCAGCTCCCGCCGCCTCCCGTTCGGCTCCGCTGCGGCGCTGCCTCTCCTTCGCTCGCGCCGACCTGCTCCTCCGTCCCCCATTCTAACGGTCCGTGAAACACTGTCCATCCCATCCCACCTCAATCCCTTCTACCAAACAAAAAACTATAACCATCCTATACCACAAACCAAACACACAACTGGAACCATCCCATCCAAAAAAAGGGGA